ATCGATCAACTCCTAAAGGTTTTCAATGGGATTCAAATCTGGAGACTGTGCAGGCCAATTCAAAGTGGTAAAGTTGTCGAGAAGATAACCGTACTTTTGTGGATTATTTAGAAAATCCCTCACTGCCAATGCTATGTGAACGGGGGCATTATCCTGTTGGAAATGAAAATTGGGTCCAACGAGTCTTAGTGCCGACGGTATCATTTCGTTTTGCAGGATATCCAAATATTTCCATCGGTTCATGGTCGTCGGTACACGGACCAGCGACCCTAAGCTGGTAGCCGAAAAACATCCCCACACCATGACGCTACCACCACCAAATTTTATTGTAGGTTTAATGCATTTCAGCTCGTACTCTTCACCTGGTCTCCGACGTACAAATAATCTTCCACGGCTACGAAACACCATAAACTTTGATTCGTCCGACCAGATCCCACTGCGCCGGAGTCCAGTCGATGCGTTGTCTGGCAAATTGCAACCACGCTGCGATGTGTCGATTAAAATTGGCACGCAAATCACGGGCAGTGTGAAACCGATTCGCTAAACTAGACCTGATGAGTAGCCGGTCTTCGCGTTGCGTTGTACGCCTTGGTCGACCTGATCGACGACGATTGCCCATACTACCTCGCAGATGAAGTTTTCGCAGGTTGAAACGTATGGAGCCTTCAGAAATTCCCAGTCTTCTTGCAATTTCCCTATTAGACACTCCTTCTGTATACAGTGCTTCAATGTTCCCTTTAGTAAATTCTGACAATTCCCTAACTTTTGGCATGGCTCAATGTTTGTAAATAAAAATTACGTATCTGACACTATGACCTCGATAAGAATATTCATGAACTACAACTGACAGGTGGGAATACCCAGAAGCGCGTGTTGAAATAATTTCAGCTTCCCAATTGGTTCAAATTTGCATGAGAAAGGACACGACTATCGCACATGTTTTATGGCGCGAAGTTTTAATGAGATGCAAATGATATGCAAATGAGCGCGCTCCCATAGAGTTAACCATGGCGATTTTTGCTCACTGAAAAAACATCTACATACAAAAAAACTAAACACAAATCAATCATTTTATTTTGACTAAAATGCACTAGTTCTTCTTAAATTTAGTATATTTTAAAGTCAACACATCATGTTACCAGGAATTGTTATTTTTAGTTACGAAAACGATCAAAAGACAGGTGCGTAAATACTTTGTGGCGGGTCTGTATATGACTGGCCGCAGATTGGCTGGGAATGTGTCACATGATTACTTACCTCTTTGTTTCTGAGCTTGTAATAGTAATAATGGATCAGTGCTGTATCTAATACTGTCTTCTTTCTTTGTAGGGCAGTTTAGTTTGCCCTGCATAATGTCTTTGCCGTTGCTACCAGTGGGGCTAGCTATGGCGCCTTCACCTACGTATGCTCTATCGTAACCATTGGATCCTCCACTTTCATGTCGTGCAATCTATAAATTAGATTACAATTAATTGTGTTTATAGTGATAAGTCATTTCAAGAATTAGTATGAATTTGTTAAAATATCAATTTTTTCTTTAGGTTCCTAATAAAATACATACAGGAGGTGGATGAGCCATAGGTGCATATGTTGTGGGATAACCCTGTGATCCAAGCCCATCACTTCCGGCACTATGTCCAAACGTGCTCACTGGTTGCAGGTAATCTTCTGCATCCATCAATAATTCAGGACCCTCATCTGGAAGCAGACTTCGATAAAACTCACTGCGAGAGGGACTTGGCAACGGCTCATGACCGTCATTCTATAAAAGGAATTGAATAAGAAATTAATTTACTGTGCCATGTGTTTCAAAAGGGATGACAAGCATATGGCAGAGTAAATGTTAGATTTAATTATATACATTATATAACAAAATGTCAATAACATCAGTGGTATGATTTCTCTTGACTAGTGAATATGTTAATCTCACAAAATTAAACTGACACACTCCACTTACATCAATAACTAAATAGCGTTGAGGATCTCTTGCCATTTTTGTAAACTCCTCCGCCAATTCATGGAAGACTGGCCGACTGTCTGCATCCAGCATCCAGCACTTTAGCATAATCATGTACACATCGATTGTACAGATAGTTGGCTGAGGTAAACGCTCTCCTTTTTCCAATAAATCAGGTACGTCACGGGCGCTGACACCCTCATAAGGTTTACCACCAAATGTCATAAGCTCCCATACAGTGACACCAAAACTCCACACATCGCTCTGTGGAGTGAATCTTCTATGCGTAATGCATTCTAACGCCAGCCATTTGATAGGCATCTGTGTTGAAAAGGAAAATTAAATTATTTTCCCAATTCCAAGAAAACATGGAGTTAAATATAAGCATGGGGTATGAAAACAAAATTATTAGTTGAGGAATTGTTAGAGTAAGTTTGGAAGGATGACTAGAACACATAATATCCGAATGAAATTCTGCAATTTGACCTCTGACCCCACATACCTTTCCACCAGCTGCGGTATACTCTTCTTCGTTGATTTCAATGAATTTAGCAAGACCGAAATCTGTTATTTTAACCTTCATAGGACTCTCTACCAAGACATTCCTAGCAGCCAAGTCACGATGTACAAGTCGTTTTTCTTCCAGGTAAACCATGCCCTAAATTGTGCAGATGAAAACAATATGACAGATTTAGAAATGGGTGTAACTCTTAATCAATGGTTATATAAATATTTGAGCTACAAAAACAAATACACCACAGTAATACAAGCTTCACGTAATTTACAATAAACCATTTAATTTTTCCAATTTTAAGATTGTAAAGAATTTGTGAAGACAGTTTTTTGGGAAAGTCACTGAGACTCCATATCATTCCATTGCTACAAAATTTAGCAATTTTCAATGACATCTGACTGAAGAAACTGAACTGAAGAAGATTACAGATATGGTCTGTAGATGTCTGAGAAATATGTACAAACATTTACACGACTGAGACAATATTCCAAATCTTCACCTTTGCAATCTGTGTACACCAATTGAGTAGATGTTGTGAGCTAACTTTACTCTTATGTTCTCTTACGTAGTCCAGTAACGCTCCGAGTGGCATCAGTTGTGTGATCAACATCATTTGTGACGCCATACACACACATAGCAACCGTGTAAGATGCTCATGTTGAACAGTTGCCATGACGTAAGCTTCCTGTAAATATAAAAATATATTTTGTCTTAAACTGAATTTGATATCAGTTGAGATGTTTGTCATTATTTTTGTTTGCGACGAAAAGCTACAAACACTTGGAGACAATGTTTACAGATTTAAGACCTAATTTAATGCTTTTATTAAACATGCACAATAACATGTGAGCTTTTTCATATTCTCACAGAAGAAAACTGAAACTAAAATATGTACAGATTATACGTGCAAGGTGACACAAAATTGAAATTAATATTCAAATTTACCTCTAGCAGTTCTTGATTGGCTTTTGCAGACATTCCTTCTCTTAGAACTTTAATGGCCACAGGAATCCGTACTTTGTCACCTTCAGGTAACCAGATGCCCTGTAAATACAAATAATAGATTAAGTATCAACACTTAAAATATACATTTGTACTGTACAATATACATAACTTTAAATGCACGGGAAGAGATGTACTTGGATTTATACAATAGTTTTGAAATGGCAATCATTACAAGTTAAATTGTTAAGGCCATATCTCAAGTTTACAAGACATTTGATTTGTGAAATATAGAAAAGTCATTCAGAATGATTCCATCAATAGAAAGTACACTTACTTTGAATACAGTACCAAAAGCACCGGATCCCAAAAGACCACCTTTTTTCAGTTCAGTTTCTTTAATAAGTCTCACAGTTGATTGGTTTGGAGCAGCGCCACTAGGTGTCAATGGCTGAAAATATTCAAATTTGGAACATGACATTTATAATTGTCACAAAAAAACAACATTAAACTTATTATTAATATTAAATAACACCTAAAGCTGTATAGAAAGTACAAAATGTGCAGCACATGTAAACAGAAAAC